TTAAATCTAAGAAGGGGTTGCTGTATGTCTAGCAATGTCAATCTGTGCAAATGTTTAGTATGTACTTGAATATACATGTTCAGTAGTTGTGCTCAGTCTGGTTTGTTCACACTTAACCCGATTTTATTTCTAAAACTATCAGACTGATTTTTTTTAGCTTTTACACACTTAAGAAGAATGCTCTGTCAAGAAGTGTTGACAGTGTCCCATGAGTGTTGACAGAAGACACAGTAGAAATTGAGTCCTCTACTTTATCATAAATACTGTCAGCTGTAGCCATGCCTTTTATTTACAGCATTCAGACTGAGAGTTCAGGTTCCCCCTGGGACTGGGAAAAAAATTTCATTAAGGTTTACTTTCTTGCATAGCTTTTAATGCAAAGCTCTTTCTCAACGTCAAAAGCTGATGAAAAAGCTACTACTACAAAATAAGGGTAATGTAATTGTAAAGAAAAATAAAGTCATGTAAACTAGATTTCTAGATAATTCTGCTAAGATTCAGGCTAGTGTTTTCTCATGCTTTAATTAGGAAACTGAATATTATGATTTACAATTCTTAAAACTTTGTGCTTATATAATAACCACAGCAACAACAAACTTTGATTAGAATTCTGTTCTGGGCATATAGCTCCCCAAATTAATGATACATGCCCCCAACTTAGAGTAGGCAACACATGGGGAGAACAGTGGAATGAAGGGCAGACAGATGATGTGTCCTGTGTTTTGCCATCTCCCATAAAGGTTCAGTTCAGGCTGGAACTCCCCACTCCACTCAGTTTTCTCCATACCAGGGGGACTAAGTCATTCAGTCTTTCATTTAACTTCTGTCCAGTTCTATCACTGGACTAAGCACCCTGGGATGAGTTCCCAGGTCTTAAGAAGCTCACAGCATAAAGATACATGTGTATATATAAAAGCAAATAATCATGATGTAATTTTTAGTATTTTATGCTATAGATGTATAAAGTGCTCTGACCACTGGCGTGAAGGAACAAAGATTTCCTAGAAGTGACACGTGAGTTGGGCCTAGAGGTCAGATCTTTGAACGTCTGTGTCTTGAACCCTCCATTACAGCTGTCCCACTGGGGACCAATCACCCCAAGGATGAGTCACAGTGATCTAAGTCTAAGGGTGGCTATTGCCATTCTGCTTTCAATGTAAGACTATTTAGTAGGATTTCTTCTCCATGCTGAGGCAGAAATCTAAACATGTTAGGGATGACTATCCTTAACTAGGGCTGTGATGGTTAGCAGAGACATTTTCCTTAAGCTAACTAGAGACTCTCTAAGAAATGGAGATAAGAGTTTTGACTGTCTAATTGTGGCTTACTTTATTCAGGTGGCTTAAACATAAAATATTAATTGTTCTCAGCCACTACTCTAATAGAAATTATCTATTGTTCTCAGCCAATACTCTAATAGAAGTTTTCCTCTCTTTTATATCCATTAACCCTGGAAACAACATAAGATTTTCTGCAGAAGAGACCATGCAAAATTTCTACTTCTTAGAATTAAACAGTTTAAGAATTTTGTGGATTTTTTTTTTTTGGTTAAAACTTGTAGATAGGGGGGTCTCACTATGTTGCCCAGGCTGGTCTTGAACTCCTGGCCTCAAGTGAGGAGGGATTCAGTCTTCAGTCTCCCAAAGTATGGGGATTATAGGTGTGAGCCACTGTACCCAGTCTTGGATTTCAAATAGAATTTGATATTTTCTGACTATCACAAGTGATACTTGGTAAAATTCTACATATTATAATATATGCAGAAAAGAAGTGTTAATTCATTTTTCCTGTTAGAAGTCAGGTGAATAGTTGGTATGTGAACAAGGGTAGAGAAACAGGGTGAAGGGACTCTTGTTCTTACGCTGATTTCTTCATAAGGGGTGTCCTTTTTTATTCTGATTTATGTTAGGAATGAGGTGGGGCACAAAGTAGGAAAGGCGTCTTAAGTGTTGACTTTAAAGTACATGACATTTTGACAATTGCATAGTCATTTTTAAATTTTACTATAGGATGGAGGTACAAATGTTTTGGTTATATAAATTGCTTCTGTACAGCTTTGAGCCAAAGCTGTAAGTGTGCTCATCATCAGGACAGTGTACCCTATACTGGTTAGGTGTGAATTTACCCACCTGCTCCTCCCCCTCCCCCCCAACTACTTGATTTCTGATCATTGCTATATCCATATGTGCATACAGTGTCGATCATCTAGTTCCAATTTAATAGTGAGTACATATGGTATTTGTTTTTCCATTCTTGTGATACTTGAAAGAATGGCTTCTGGTTCCATTCAGGTTAATAGAAGAGGTATCAGTTCACAAGTTTATTTTTTTATGGCTGAGTAATATTCCACAATCTACATATATCACATTTCATTAATCCACTTATGTACTGACAGGCACTTGAAATGTTTTCACACCTTTGCAGTTGTGAACTACACTTCCATAACTTTTCAAGTTTTCTACATATAATATCCTTGATTTTGTGTATTGACTTGCAATTTTGCTATTCAGCCCCTTATGGAAAAAGTTTGCTGATGCTGTTCCAAAATCAGTGGTTTATAAAGTGGTTGGTCATCAAAGTCTTCTGTATTAAGAAAACCCCATGTAAATGGTTCGCCTGTAATGTTTTAGTTGTGCAGGTGATTCTGATGCTCAGCTGGGCCTTCCTACCATTGTCTGTGGTTAATCAATCATCTACTGCTACGGTCACTGTTACCCTAATTTCCTACCGAGAGAAACTAAGCAGAGGATGCCAACATTTTAATTGAGCAAAACTGGGTAAAAACTCTTAAGATGATTCAATGAACCCAGATTATTAGCCAAACTCATTAATAAAACTGAAAGGGACTTAGAGAAATCGTTGTGAAAAACATGGGTATTGAGGTAGAAGAGTAGGAGAATATTATTCTCCTCAGCCTAGCTATGCCCTTTCTATCTTTAGCTAACATCAAGAAGTATTAATTGGGTACTTACATATGCCAGGCACTGTTCCAAGTATTGAGAATACAGAAGTGAACAAAAAAGACCAAAATCTTTGCCATCATGGATCTTACATTTTAGTGGATGGAAAACCGTAATATCTCTGTAGCACTCTTTCAAAGTGGCCCAAGAATGTCAGCAAACAGTCTGAGGGTCCCCACACTCAATTTACCATTATACATGTGTAATAGAAGGTGACTGGAGCAAATTAAAGGTAAGCCTGTTGGCAAGATGAGGAAGCCCATGACAAATGATGTACTGATGTACTCATAACTTAAGTAAAGCATAGTAACATTGGGTCATCAAGAGAAAGTGACAAAAATTACAAAAAAAAAAAGAGAGACAGTGACAGTGGCTGATATGCATGTTTGTGGGGATATGTTAAGACTGCCAGTATAGGGCTGGTCACTAGTGCTAGGAAGCTGTCCTGCTGCTGTAAGATTTCTTCTGGCTGTGTTTAGAGTTCATCCAGAGATAGACTTTTGCTTGGAGGAAAGTAGGAAAGCAGGTCAAAGAAGCTGAGATAATCTGCAAGACCTAGATTATCATGGTAACCATGGAATTCAGTATGGCTGGGGGTGGGGAGGCTCATTCGTTAATCCTCTGTACCACTGGGCCCCTCAGAAACTGACTGAGGGAGGCAGAGATCTTCCCATCTCTTCCCTGAGGAATCTTAATTTGTACTTTACGTGAGTGAGAAATAAAAATTAAAAGATAAAAGGGATATAAAAGATAAATGGATAGAGAAAACGATGAAGCTTCATAGGCTACAAGGAGGCAGAAGGAGTCCAGGTTTCCCCCGAGGAAAAAACATAATGAACATAGCCTGGGTGAGGAGAAGAGAGGGCAGTTACAACTCTTTTTCTCCAATAAAGTGCTAAAACCTTAAATTAGTAGGGAGGAAAATACGTTTCACACTGGTGTTGCAATTATTTCAGAAACGATAACCCTAAGTGTTTTAGCATGAAAATAAAATTATAAGTTAATTTAAAATACATTAAGGAAAGTTCAGTTTAAAAGGATTTTGGTGTATATTAACACTTAACGCATGAAACAATGAGTGCTGATTTGTCCTAAGTTTGGATAGCTATAGAAATTTTTCTTAAAGTATGTTTATTCTGCAATGAGGTTAAAAACAGTATGATTAACTTTCCCATTCATGCTACATCAACTGAGTAACACAGAGATGGAGAATTTCAGACTTTCACCTGGCGTTCAGTCCTTGCCAATAATCTGTCATGTGGCAGGAAGGCGGCCTCAGTGATCTCCCAAGGTCCATGCCATCCTTTCACCATTACTCCTTGGGCAATGCCACTGTTCACTGCCTACCTACTTGGTTCAGAAGAGTAGCTGCAGAAATTCAACTTCAATTTTCTACTACCCCCCCCATACTCTTAGCAATTTGTTTCTTATACAATATTATATACAGACTGAAAGATTAAAGCTCAAAATTTAAGTTAAGGTAAGTTATAATGCTCTTATGTTGAACTTTTTTTTAGAATTGTAGAGTTTTTATTATGCGGTGAATAAGAGATAGCTATGTTCATAGGAAATTCATATTAGATTAGTAGGCTGAGGGGAGACATCTGTAGAAATCATCTTTATCATACCAAGATCCAGGTAGGGCATCCCGGTCTCTGACACCCATCCCTGACAGCCTCCTTTTGTAACGTGACCATTTCGGGGGAACACACAGCGTGCATTACTGTACAAAGACGGCATTGAAGCCCCTGCAGCCCTGCCTGGGGCCTTCGACTCTGCAGCTGGCATGAGGTTAAAGGGGACAGAATGGTGACTAAGAAGGGATGGACCATATTACTATTAGTTGCTGGTTATAAGCCAGTCATGCCTATTGCTGCTTTATAAAACAAAACTCCATCTTTCCTTTTGAAATATTTAGTAAATTTCAAAGGAAAAATACCTCATCTGGCTGAAAACTTGGGTCTTTGCTTTTGTACTGAATTTGTGTTCAGAAATGAAAACTTGTGCTGAAAGCAGCTCCATGAGGGAGACGCGACTCACCACTCAGGTGCTGGGCTGCAGCCAGGCGGCTGGGCTTCAGGACGAACTGGCACTGCATCTCCCGGGGCAGCTCCTCCATGAGGAAGGGCTCTTGGAAGTTGAAAGGGGTGGTAGAGTCCTTTGATCCCGGTGTCAAGAGAGCAGTGTCTCGAAGGTGGCTCATTTTAATTCCATAGGGATATTCATGCCCTACATATAAAAATCTAAATGTAGATGTCAGACTGACTGGTACTGTGATCATGTGTGCTACAAACAGAATATACAACAACACAGGTTTATTACAGTTGGAGACCCTTGCATAATGCTGGTGGGTCCTTCCAAAGTCATTTTAAGGAGAGGTGGAGAAGACTAAAAGACTATTTTGTTTGGAATAAATGCATAGATCAGTTTCTGAGTTGCATAATATTGACTCTTTGTATGTCTCCATCTTAGAATACTTAAAGGTATTCTAGTTTCTCCTTTGACATTAACTAGATCTACATATCTTCAGCAAATCTAACCTTCATTCAGGCTCAAATCTATGACTTAAAATATTTACTTATTTTACAAGTATCGTAAGGACCGTTAGTGGCTAATTATTTAAATAATAGAAACAAAGAATGATATATGTCAAGCACCACTATCATTGTTATTATCTACCACATGATGTCTGTCTGATAAAGGCATTTCATTACTTTTTATTAGTTACATTATTAGGGTTGCTCGAGAGCACGGGCCCTGGTTTGATTTATGCTTCCCTCCTGCTGCTGCCCTCTGAGGTCAGTGTTCATAGGCAACAATCAGAAGGAAGACAGCAGGGGATCAGAAATAGATACAAAAAGAAATCTACAAAACAGAAAAAGTAAACCCTGGACACCTGACTGCAATGAGATTTTGCTTTCTAGTACTCTAAGTAATTGCAATCTCTTAGTATACCTCAATACCACTGTGCTATAGACTTTTTAAGTACAGAGAATATGTTTCCTTTTATTTCTGACTTATTAATGAATGTAATTCAGTGAACTCTCACTCTTCCTTTCCACCTGGCACAGGCATACACTGTCAGTGTTCCATTAATACCAATTCCTTCAGCAGCTTCCAGGGATGAGGGCAAAAAGGCTTCTGTGACAGCCATAAAGCAAAATTAATTTATCAAAATAGCCAGCTGGCAAATCTATCACTGAAGTTTGCAAGGCACATTAAAATTCAAATATACAATTAAGAACTGCTGCCAAATCATGGAACAATGATCCCCTCATTTTTTAATCACATCCCCCCATCTCATTCAAGGGCTAATACTCCCAGCTTGGAGCTGGGAGCTAGGTAGGTATTATCTACCTAATTTAATTAAATTAACATATTTTATTAAAGTAATTGTGTATATTTAACTTAATGACAACTTTGTTGCTTATTGCTTTTATAAAAATGACAGTGTTATAAACAAAGCTGAAATGCTGTCAATTCTGTCCTCAGTTCTCATGTTCTAAGTTTGAGCATATACATTTTCTAGATTATTCAGATTACTTGAAACACACTAACTTACATAGTAGTGACCTCAGAGACAAAGGATTGTATAAGGTAATGCATAGTACGTGGTCTATACAGTGTCTGGCGGGTAGTAAGCATTTTAAAATTAACAGAACTTGTCATTCTCATTATTTTCATTATCTTAAGATTTGCTACAGACACTGTCCCTTATATTAAATGTTCTATTTCTGTTAACCACATTGAACAAAATACTGATCAAGAAATATTTTTTAGCTAAATGATTTTATTTTTAAATTCTTTTTAGTTACTTTTTTGAGACAAGAATTTTCCTTTGTCATCCTCGGTAGAGTGCCACGGTGTCATAGCTTACAGCAACCTCAAACTCTTGGGCTCAAGTGCCTACCACAACGCTCAGCTATTTTTTTAGAGATGGGATTTCGCTTTTTCTCAGGCTGGTCTTGAATTCCTGACCTCTGGTGATCTACCTACCTTGGCCTTCCAAAGTCCTAGGATTACAGGTACGAGCTACCATGGCTGGCCATAGCTAAATTATTTTCAAAAGGTGAGGTGTAACCCATTTGCCAATAATTACTGAAAACGAATGCTGGAAAATTTGGCTACAGAAAAAGCAAATAGGTTAATATCTTCTTTATAATGCTTAAGAAAGTTCTGGGCACAGAGCAGGTATCATGTAGTCACTAATGGATTAATATTATATACCATAGAGACAACAAACAGGAAAAGGAATAGAAAATTCAAAACTGAATGTCAAAAATAAATATATAAAGAAAAAGGAATACCAATAAATATTGCTTTCTTACAGAAATTTTTTTATTTAAAGTTTGGCAAGGTAACTCTGTAAAGTGAAAAAGTAGAGAGGAAAATTTACATTTCTCAACTATACCATTAACTGCTTGAATGAGGAGATATTATTTGCTTGATATATGAGTAAATGCTTGATATATATTTATTAAATGGATATCATATGAGACCATTTAGTAGTACTTAAGATTAGGAGCATACAATCAATTCTCGGAGACACTCAGAATTATAATTAAAACAAAACCAATATGATCTTCAATTTTTTACAAAAACTTACCAATGAGTGGGTATGGTGCTGCTTCTTTGCCAGAAATGACCCATAACTGGTAATCTCTCTCAGTGCCCTTGGAGATAAAAGAATTAAAAGTTACAATACATCTTTTACATTTGGTGTTTGAATGAGGCCACATTTTTTGACATTTTTGTGCTTTTATACATCCGACTTGGGTTTATGACAGTGGTTATGGCTTTTGAAGTGTTGATACCTACAACCAACCTCCCTTTCCCCATCTCCAATAGAGGACTCAGAAATTCTGCCTTTTTCCATCCAGTGATGGCCAGGGATCCATGAACTGCAATGGAATTAGGCCCTCACTATATAGCAGCCCATGGAATGTGAAATTGTACTAGGCCCTTTTACAAAGAAAGAACAAACTTCCTGGTTCTATTATAAAAAGCTAATCTCTTCTTTAGAGTCCTGACATCTGCTATACCTGCAAATTTCTCAGAGAATATGGGTTTAACCTCCAACATGGCCCTGCAAAGACAACCTTAATATTCAGAAAGCCACAAATACTGCTATGATTAAAAAGTAAAATGTCAAAGGCTGATTATTAGCTCAGCTGCTTCTGAGCAGGAGAAGAATGGCCAAGAGGCTTTGAGGAGATAGGTAGTTGGCACAGTTTGCACTGGCTTGAATTTGGGTAAGTCCAGTCCTGGGCACAGAACAGACAAGAATTCTATCTAGAGAATAGGCCCAGTCATGGAAAACAATAAAATTGTTCACTAGCAGAATTATAACCCAACATCACTATAAATCCCACTTGAAAGAAATAATACTAAATTATACAGATTTTGCTAAATCCTCTAGGAGGGGTAACACAAAAACAGTTTAAATGAAGATAAATCTGTTGGCAATGTTTCATATCCTTGCCTTTAACTTGTGATTAAAAGTCAGGGGCCTGCCCTTACAGTGGAGGGTCCTGCCTGTGAAGAATACCACGCAAACCATTCCTCCTTCCCTCCTGGTTTGTCACTTCCTCTCTGACACATCCCCTAGCCAAAGTTTTTATTATAAACAGGAAGAGTAATCTAATAAAAATCTTCATTGTAGTATCTGAAAACATCATCATAATCCCTTAGAGTAGGTATAACCAAATAGCATCAATTCCTAGTCAAATAAATAAAAATTCTTCTGGTTTGAGGAGATTGAGCATTTTATCCAAAAGCATAGATAAGAAAGTGAATCTCTAAAACTATCCACTCTCTTCCGAAATATATTCACATAGGTTAGAAATAAATGCAGAGGTGCCTGCTTTATACAGTGCACACAAATTTAATTATACTTTAAATGTCTTACTATTAATAAAATAATCAGATTTCTTAACCCAATTGTTGGTTGCCCTGAGTTCTTAAGGGCTTACTATAGCACTGTGCACAAGCAAACCTAAATACAGTTAATATTATGCTATGTCTTAAATATGTTATCGGGTCACATAATAGTAACGGTGTACTTTAATATTCATAGATAATCTCATTCAAGAAATAGTGTTTAAAAGTGCTCTCCTTAGTTTCCATGTTTTTGAAAGTTAACTCCTTTTAATAAAAGAACCCCCTGTATGGAATGTTGATACAAGTAAGGAGGCAATGAGAAGAATCTTCCAGTTCGCTTCCTTCTCCCTCACTCTCCAACATTCCAATCTTCTCTACTACTAAAATTTCAAAAACTGACCTCCGTCATAGAAAACAGAAAGGGACAAAAGTTAAAACCCAAACAGGGAGGAGTGTGGTCTGCGTACTGAAGCTCTTCAAATCCATGAGCTAATTCAAAGCTTGTCTTTTTATTTACCAATTCATTAGAGGTACCATCTCATTCTCAGGGGCTGGAGCCAGACAGTGAGTTAATGTAAAAATTCTACTGCAGAGCAAACCCTTCAGATTTCATCATCCTAAGACTGATTAAGTCTTGGATACAAACAACATAATTAGATGGGGGGGAGAAGTTGAATAGTGTTGACTAGGAAGGACAGAAGAGGTTGAAAACTTTCTCTATGTTGATAATCTTAGACCAATTTTTTTTTGTATATTTATACAGCATATACAATAAAATATATTATCACCCAAAATTATAGTCCAAATGTTTTTCAGTTTACACCGGTTTTAAAATGAGTAGGACAGCACACATATATTAAAAGTTAATACAGGGTGGCCATAAAGTTTGTGTGTAAATTGCATATGAACTTTATGGCCACCCTGTATTAAAACTTTATTATCCTTAACTTCTACATTTCGGAGAATACGATATGACTGGTATCTTTAATAGCAGCTGTCTTATGATGAAAAGGATAATATTTATACAAATTTAATGTATCAAAGTGTGTTTTTATTAGATTATCTAGTAGAGTAACTTACAGTTATCCCTAGCATTGAAAATAACATGCTGATAACTTCATTCGCTGTATCTGAATTCTTTACTGTTATAGTTTTAGACTGTAGGAAAAAAAAGAAATAAGAAATACAGCTATGAATAAAGACTTCTAAAACAGGCAAAGAAATAATCATTCTCAAATGATTATCCAAAGACAAAGCTTGATTTCTTATGAAAGGAGTAAATCACAAGACTTAAGTAGAACACAGTTGAGTATAATTTATATTTGTTCCCTTTTATACTATGCCTTTTTAATAAAACATTTCCCTCAAAATAAAAGATGTGTAGCCCACAAAATATATAAGCTTAAACAAGTAGGGAAAAGACTAAATATATTTCAGAGAAAGCACAGGGATCCAGCTCCCAATTAAAAAACAATCAGTGAGGCTGGTCCATTGCCTCATATTCCATATTCCTTATCATTGTATTTCTGTAATGCAGTGATTTTCAACCAGGGTGCTGCGGCCATAAAAATTGGTGTGCCATAAAAGTTTTAAAGGTCATTAATTAAATTACTTTTGAAAGCAATTCAAAGTACAGTAAGTATATTCTCTTCTCTCTCTCTTTTTTTTGATCAACATAATTTAAGTGTGGCATGCAGGTTCAAGTGTGCTGTGAGATAAAAAAGGTTGAGAAACACTGTCATAAAGTCGTGGATAATAAGATGAAGAGAACTGAATCTCTTTTTTCCTGAGTACTATTTTCATAGCAGAGGGTTTTATTTCTTTGTATGATATAAAGTCAGTTCAGGTAAACTCAGCATAATAACTGGTTACAAAAAAAGATTTAAAGCTTAGAATTTTAAAAAATCATTTATTAAGTACTATGTGTCAGATGCTATGGTTACTATGATTTTGATTGTTGAAATATTTTCTTTTTTGAGACAGAGCCTCAAGCCGTCCCCCTGGGTAGAATGCTCTGGCATCACAGCTCACAGCAACCTCCAACTCCTGGGCTTAAGTGAGTCTTCTGCCTCTGCCTCCCAAGTAGCCGGGACCACAGGCACCCGTCACAATGCCTGGCTATTTTTTGGTTGCAGCTGTCATTGTTATTTGGTAGGCCTGGGCTGGATTTAAACCCGCCACCTTAGGTGTATGTGGCTGGTGCCTTAGCCAATTGAGCCACAGGTGCCGAGCCAGATTGTTGAAATCTTTAGAAGATTTCAAACCAATGAGTCTAGAAGAAAGAATTGAAAATTTCAGTAAGTTTAATTCTATTACCAAGTCTGCCATTGAATAGAATATCTATAATATCTGTGTTAAACTACAGCAAGAATAGCTACTTAAAAAGACAATTTGCAAAAAACAGAAAAGGATTTAGCAAGATTCTGAGATGTCTATAGAGCTCACTGAATTACCAAAAGACATTGTTAAAACATGAAACAATGCTGTGTTGTCAAAAATGGAATATTTATTATATATATATAGATAAGTTTTATATAAGACATCAGTTTTCAGGGCTATGTCTCTGACAGGGCTTAAAAGGCACAAATAAGAAGCATCAATGGAAATGCAATGATGTTAAAAAAATAAAAACAAAGCTAAGTGAAATCTACTAACAATTCATTACTTATTGTTCTATTAATAGTATTTCTTCCCTATGAGCCAATGACTTGACATGACAAATTGGCTCAAAATTGTTTAAGTGAATTTTAATTTTTACAAAAGTATTTTAAATGCATGGTTTTCAAATTGTACTCCTTATAATCCCTAGGACTATGCAACACTGTCCCAGAGCCCAACAGCAAAGTTTTGGAGCACCCAACCCAGCGTCCGTCTCCTATCAGAAGAGTGTCAGAGATAAGTTACAAACTGTTTCTGCTTTTTGAAAAAAAAATCTAAACAATGCTTTTATTATAATTTAAGGAAACTCTCTCATGAAGTCTTTTGTCAAGTTAAGAATGTACCGTCCCAATTATCTGATTTCTAAGGTAATGGTTTTTCTTAGTTCTAGGCACATATGTTCAAAATAGTAATTAGAGAAATTAATATTAATTTTCTTGAATGCCTTTCTGATACACAAAACAGATGAATTTCAGCAGATAAAGCTCTTTGTTTAATAAATAACAAAATAGATTAGCAGCAGTCACTGAGAGGCTGTACGTGAGTAAGAGACCAAGGTAATACTTCCCATACACACTCCTCTAGAGGGGAAATAACAGCAACCAGAGCTGAAACCAACCTGAAACCAACCTGAAAGAGACTCCTGCTGGGAAATCAACTTCATGGAGCAAAGGACAGAGTATGTGGCATTACCCTTGACTTTCCAGGGTACGAGCAATACAAACAGAGCATTTGACCTGACCAGATCTCTTATCTCTTCCAAAATGAGACTGATGCATCAGGCCTTGCTCTAGCACACCCTTTCCACACACTGAAAAGAAAGTGTTAAAAAAAATTCAAGGGTGTTTCTATGAAAATACTGAATATAATCAACTGCCCCAACAACTGAGTCCAAGCAGGCAGAAACAAGTGTGTTTTCTACTTTGCCACAGGAAATCTCTATAGTTTCATGCCATAAAAATTTGAGTATTTTCCTTAAGCAGTGATGTCCAGCACTAAGGTGTTGGTCAGCACATTTGCATAATTTTTGCTTTTGGCCAAAACAACTGTTTTCCACTACATAGCTCCCACAGACAAAACTATTCCGTGTGATCTAGAGCTGCTGTGAAGTCTGACAGTCCCTAGTACCATAAAAATATTTGTAAGTTTCCATCTTATTCATCACTGATAATATCTTGGCTCTTTTACAATATCAGTCATCAAATTATGCATAATAACTGGGGTTAAAGAAAACATTTGACCAATGTGATAAACACAGTGAGGCGGAAAAATGCTGATCCTTTAAAAATGTTGCCTTTCCCAGATCATCCACTAATTAACCTGAGGGATTCCATTCATAAGAACTCAAAGAATAAACTTGTCAAACCCCCCTCTCTACTTAAGAAATGACAAATTGGAAAAAATTGCTTAATAATAATAGGAAATACCTCTTTGCAGAAAAAGCTTTACAAGTCTCTACAGCTGATATTGATAAAGACTCAGAGAAACATTCATGCCAGAGGTAGGAAAGAGAATCTGGCAAGCAGTGCTCTTTCCAAACATAAATGTTAAATACTGTAGTGAATATGAACTTCTCTTGCTTCATGTTCTCTAGAGTTTCATCTTCATATATACAAAGACATAGATAGGAAAATGCGTTTCCCCTGCGCGATTTCTAAATGCCTACTTTTCAGAGCACATACACAGTCTGTCTGCCTATTTTTAATCCATGGCATTCTGCTTTATGCAGGGACTTGGAATTTAGTTTTCTGGCTTACAAACACTTACATAGACACAATTCCCAATGTCCTTGGCGAAGATTTTGAGGGGAATGCTCTTCGGGTAGTCCTTCTCTTTCTCTAGATTGATGTATCTAATCAAATGCAACAACAACCCAAAACAACACTGAGTCAGATGGAATTTGCTAATGGATTATTTTTTAAAAAAAATCAATCTATATTGCTAATATTTTCAATATATTTATATGCTATTTTTAAAGACAGATGAGAAGACTCAGCAAAGTCAGATTACATAATGGGTTGGATGAGAATAAAAAAAATTTCAGGACATTAGGTTTGGGCACAAAAAAGAATGGGGCCTTCATGTCAAATGAGGTTCGAGAAGCACAATAAGGTTACGGTGCTTCTGTGTGATATTTTATCCTTAAACCTTCCCTGCCCTCTCTGGACAGGTCCAGCACCTTACTGGTAAGAACAGGGGCATATGAAATACTTTACGAGACCACAGTACTTGCTACCAAGTGACCTTTTACTCTCCTCTAGCTCTCTAATGGAGTGTAAATCTTGGTTATCCCATTGCTTGCTAAGGGAGAGAGGAGAAAGGTGGGGAGGACTGTGGCTCTAATGGATGAGAGAGACCAAGTCCATCTGTTAGTCTGTATGCTCAATGGTGGGGTTAATAATGGATTTTTTTGAGCTGCTCAGCAGAAACCCCTGCATTTATGGACACTTAGTATGTACTTTGTGGAAACTGTTATTTCCAGTTGGTAGACTGGAGACAACCAAAAGAAATGGAAGATATTATTGACTAATTTCTGTCTAAAACGATCTAACTAGACCTCAATGTTCTCCTTCCTAGAAAATAAGGAATATATGTAGTTAAAGAACATTATTTATAGCAAGTACTAGCTAATGAATAATCTAAACAGCAGCTTATTTTTAGGACAAATGAACAATTTCTACTAAGGAGAAGGGTAATAATAGGGGGTGCATCTCTGCAGAAAAGGTTTTAATTTATTGTGGATTAAAGATTAAAAATATGTATACTGAAAAAAGTACCTCTGAAGGAGAGAAAGCCATTTGTCTTTTTGCTCTGGAGAACTGCAATCAAAGAAAAAGGAAGAGAAAAATCACATAAACTACTTGGTGTTAACGGATTTAACACTGTCAGTCCACATCAAAGTATGAACAGCCTGTTGTTATTGATACCATTGCACATGTGAGATGCAACCTCAGCACAATTTTGTTCTGGAGAATCCTGTGGTGAAAATACTCTTTTAGAAAGATCACACAGTCAAGTATAGCTGTATTCAATTAATTCTCCTGGATGAATCCAAGACAGACCCTCTTTTCCACTTTATATTTTTTTTTTGTTTTTTTTACAAGTAGTAGTAGATCAGTAAGAGGTAGCTCTTAACAATGGAAAGGTTACTTAATTTGGAATCCAACACCTGGTTTTTCCACATCTGTAAAACTGGGTTAATTATCTCACAGTGTTTTTGTAGCTTAAAGGGCCATACAAATAGAAAGTATGCTTAATATTGAGATTAAAGAGATTAAGGAGAAATTTGGCATATGGATAAAAATCTCTTGGCCCAGAAACCTGCCTGTTGTCAGGAACATACAGCAGAACTATAATTTAGTAAATTAGTTCACAGAAAACTTATTCTTAATTACTATCACCTGATTAAAGTCAAACCATTTACAACTCAATAACTATTGATTCATAATTTTGTGCTGATGTCATAGCTGCACTTCATTCTTAAAGTTAGAAATAAAATTAATTGATTCCTATATGGTGTTGTCACAAGCTTTTAAAGCCATATTTCTAATCTCTTTAGAGAAACTGGAAACCCTAGTTATTTTCTTGCTCTAAAAAAACACTTCAAAATATTTGTAATTTGTTTCTAATGTTGTTTAGCACATTATATCTTTTTTTTTTTTTAGCATTAACCATGCAACTTCGTCTTTCACGATTTCTCACTATCTTCTCTAAAAAAGATTTTCTAGGTTCAAATTTTCTAGATTTATGTCAAGTCTTATGTTTAGCTAAAATACATGTTGAAGATAGATGAGAAATTTTCTTCAGATTCATTATTGTTTTCCAAAACAGTTAAAGAATGCTGCCCCTTTAAGATACTTAGTGTTTTTAAACTTTGAATTGACAAAAAAGATTTACAGAGAAAACAGTGCAAAGCTTAAGTGTATAGCTCAAAGAATGTTTTCCAAATTGAACACATAACCATTTATATTGGAGTATCTTCACATTTTCTGAATATATTTTCACTTCTATTCTGCAGGGAAGGCAAGTATCTTTTAATTAAGATATTGTAGTTTTCAGTTATAGAATTTCTATTTGACCAAATTAAAATATTTTCTATTTCTCTGCTGATATTTCCTACCTTTTTATTAATTTCAATTGGATTATCATTTTATCTATCACGGATACTTGTGAAAACTAATTTAAAGATCTTTTCTAGTAATTTAACATCTGGGCCATCTCAGGCTAGCTCACTATTGATTAACTTTTCTCTTTCCTTGTTCTTCATGTGTCAAGACATTTTAGATTACATTCTGAACATTATAAACGTATTTTGCTGTATTTGCAAAAAAATGTTGATGTTTTTGTTTTAGCTAGCAACTAACTTGATTAGCCCAAGCCACAAACTCTGTTCCACCTGTGGTGGGCAGAAGTTCAGTACAATTCTTATTGTCATAGCTTCAACCTGCAAGCCTATTGTAGGCATGTGGGGGGTCAGCAATCAAGGGACTTGAACAGTGTCTAGACACAGAATTCATAGCTCCCCTTTTCTGATACCTTTATGAGATTTCTCTCTGCATGTTGCAATGGCTGTGTTTGACTGGGACTCTGTATTTTGGTTCTTCAGACCAGAAAGGTAAGAATTTCTGTCAGTTTTATTTACCCTTCACCATTATGTGACTGCCTCTTGCCCTTGGGTGAAAGCCTTAAAACCAGGAAACTCAACTACTGATAGTGCCTTCTTCTGAATTTTAATTCCTCTTCAAAATCTACCAAATTTTGTTCATTTTCCAGAACCTCAGGTAGTTTTTGGCATTTTCAGTTGTTTTCTTGTAGGGCAGTCAGTCTGTTAAGACCCTACTTTGCATATCCAATGTACTCAGTACTATTATGAATTCAACCAATTTACAATCACTCACACTTTCATATGAACAACAGATCACAACTATAGCTCAAGATGAAGAAAGGAGGGAGGAAAAGGGGAGGTCAGATCCAGGAAGGGTGAATGGTGGGATCACACCTATGGTGCATAATGCAAGGGTACATGTCGGATCTATTAGTATACAATATAAATGTCTTAACACAATAACTAAGTAAACAAGATGAGATATATATTAACCAGTGTGATGTAAGAGTTCCTAATTCTATATGAAATCAGCACATTGTACCCCATAAATGCATTAATGTATACATGATCTATGTGTTTGATTTAATAAAAAAATAGAAAAAAACATAAAAGTTAATCACTGACTAACCCCCCTCCCCCCCAAAAGCCCTATTTTGTCATACCAGAGGAAGAACTCAACATTTTACTTTTTTAAAAATACATTTGATTTTTAAATAGTTTCAGATTTGCAGAAAAGTTACAAACATAATACAGACAGTCCCTGTTTACTTCTTCCCAGTTTAAATTTCTTCTAACGTTATTCTCTTAAATTACAATGGCCTATTCGTCAAAGCTATGAAACCAACCTTGGTACGTTGCCATCAACTAAATTCTTGACTCTATTCAGGTTTCACTGGTTTTTCCATTAATGTCCTTTTTCTGTTCTAGGAGCCAACCCAGAATACCACAGCACATTTAATTATCACATCTCCCTAGCAATTAATCTACGACAGTTTCTCTTTGCCTGTATTTGTTTCTTTGACAGTTTTGAGGACTGGTCAGTTATCCTGTAGAATGTCTTTCAGTTTGTGTTAGCTGGATGTTTTTCTCATCATTAGACTGGAATTATGGTTTTTATGGGGAAAAGACAACAGAGGTGAATTGTTCTTATCATTACATTGTATCAAGGAGTATATGATATCTACATAACATCACTGGTGATATTAATTTAACCTTGATCACTTGGTTAAAGAACCATAGTTGGAGCAATACAATATTACAGATATAAAACTTGTTTCCACATTCACCCCCTTCTTACTAAAAATGTTGCATGAAAATTCTTTCATTAAAGACATCATGTAGCCCTACCACTCCCATGAAATTGCTTCCCTTCACCTGTGACCAAGGAGATTAAGCAACAGGAAATGATAGTATCTATAGAAAAGATATATGTCTTGGAAAAGAAGATATGTATGTGTACACAGAGAAAGATACAAACATATTTCTTTCACAAAGTTCTTAAAATCTTGTGGTAGGCCAATAGTGTGTATCAGAGTTTATGACATTCCTGTCTTTTAATAAAGAAGATTAACAGCTTGGAAAAGTTTAATTATCTGGGCCTAGGATGACGCCTGAGGAGTCTGGTGGTGGTGGAAGAAAAGCTGAAAGCATCATGGGCATGTAATGGACACTAAGGGTAAAATAAATACTGGAATTGGAACATAGTTGTTCAAAATCATAGGTGTGAATTTTGATATGCTCACTCTGAACTGAAAAGTGCCAGTTAAGCCTGTTAAGAAAGGATGAACATTCTTTATTATGTATTCTCCAATACCATCCCTGCCTAGAAGTAAGTCTTGGGTAACTAACTGTTACTTCTTAAAATCTTAAGTTTTCTTGATTGTCACATCTCTTACAGATACTATATAAAAAAAACTGATACACAACTCAGGTAACCCAGTATTTCATGACATTAATTTTATTGTTATAATGAAAAATACTTCTTTAGAAAATTTTGGAGTATAAACCAGTTATTAAAACTTAATTGAGCTATTTTACAAAATTTGCTTCAGTTAAGGTCATTTCAGTGGTTTGAAAAGATGGGTAAGACTTGAAAGCGGAATATATAAAACAAATACCAAGGAGAGGGGATGTGAGAGGGAGTCCTGAAGATGGGACCAGTCTATTCCCCTTCCACATTCCTGGAAGTTCCCATCCCCCCAGTTGTTTCAGTAGAGCCCCTTTAAAAATCACTGGGCAAACCAAGGTAAATGACTATAAGAGTTCTCAGTTGTCCGCATTAATCAAAATCTCTCTGGGAGAAACTTAAGTCACAAAAGCATCTTGGTTGGGTATATGTGTCAAAAGATGAGTTAATGACTTCATAAACAGAATAAAATATTTTCATTCTAAAAATTTAGGGAATAAAATTTGCTTAAATTTTTCTCTCATCCTAGAAATCACCATAGCAGATAAACACTGTGAATACAGGAGAAGGTCTGGTTCTTACCTGAAAGTGGCCACAAAGTTGAGAGTGGGCCAGCCCAAGACAAAGGATTTCAGAGCATTGGTGTTCCCTTCTCCCACTTCGTCCACACAGCTTGCTGTCCACATATCAGTTAATTTTATTTTATTTTTCATTTTTAAATTATTGTTATACCTAGAAAGATAAAAACCAAAAGGACCTCTTCTTATTTTGTTTCTTGAATTTTATGGGAGATTCTGTACTTGCCATAAAAGTCTTATTCACTGTTTTTAAATTTTGGGTTAATATAGGGCTACATACGATTAGGTTACATACTTTGCTTTTTTAAGGTTAAAGTCCAAGTTGTAGTTGTGTCTTTCACTCAGGAAGTGTGCAATATCTCCATATAATGTACCCACTGGGTGAGAATTTACCAAACCCCAGCCTCCAGGCCCCCTCCTTGTACTGAACTGAGTTTTTCCTCTCGTGTGAGCATGTGGTTGTTCATCTACTAGCTTCAATTTTAATATTGACTACAAGTGATGTTATTTCTCCATCCTTGTGATACTTAGCTTAGGTGAATTTTTTTTAAATCTATCCAGGTTGTTATCAAAGATACAGACTCTCCATTGTTTTATGGTTGAATAGTATTCTATGGTATATATATTCCACAGTTTATTAATCCATTCATGTGTTGAAGGGCATTTGGGTTGTTTCCACATCTTTGCTATTGTGAATTGTGTTGCTATAAATATTCACATGCTGGCTTGGTGCCTATAGCTCAACCGGCTAAGGCGCCAGCCACGTACACCTAAGGTGGCGGGTTCGAATCCCCAGCCCGGACCCACCAAAACAACAATGACAGCTGCAACCAAAAAATAGCCGGGCGTTGTGGCGGGCGCCTGTGGTCCCAGCTACTTGGGAGGCAGAG